AGTTTCCACCTTGTTGGCGAACTATGCCAAAGAAATTCTCCAGTGGATCCTGGTTTAACCGTCTGGTTAACAAGAAGTCGAGAGAACATTCTTGGTGCAAATGATTCCACAACTGAGTAATGCCATGAAGTGTCATTTGGAGACCCTTTAGACAATGTAGTTGGTTGGTCATATTTTCATGGGTATTTCTGTCAATGACCTTGATTGTAGGAATGAACTTTATCATTTCAGCTATAAAGGTGTGGTGTGCGGAATTCTCACAAATTGCCTTCTTGTACTGCTTTGTGTTGTGTAGGTTTGAGCTGTTGAGGCAGTCAAAGATATTATCCAATTTGGAAATCAACTCTGCTGTTCCGGCAGCTACAGCAGGTAACTCACCAAGGGATACATACATCAACACTGTGGATGCCACAGTGTTACTCAAAACTTGCATGGCATACTTAACCTTCATCTTCGTGAAGCCATTTGGGTTAATATGGTTATTGGTGAGTTTTGGGCAACATCTAATTGTTTGTTTTCTGTCTCGTTCATATACACTTTTCACATCTTCCCAGGATGCAACCTTGTCATCAAAGTGAAAATCATACTTCATCAAATTGTTTCGGATTGCTTTGATTAGATGAGGTGGGTCAAATAGGTACATGATTGTTTGTCCATTGTATTTGAACCACGGTTCCGTTGGTGTTATATTTAATTCCCGCAATAACTTTTGGAAATTGGACCCCAGATCAGATACAATTGTCTTGACTTTTAATCCTATTGATGTAACATCATCCACCATTTGGAACAATGTGCTCTTAATTTTGTCACTTGGACAGGCATTGTTCACCAATAGGTATCCAAGTGGCTGTTTCCAATTATCTGTAATCCCCCGTGCCATGAATACCAGTGCACATGTAGCCAATTCACTTGTTCTTTCACCATTGCCATAATCCTCTACACCAATCACCTCGTCTTTCTTGATATCATATTGCAAGTTTGTTTTTAGTGACAGTTCATCCATGGTGATGGTACAAAGCTTTGATGAATCACTCATCACACTTACTTTGCTGGCAATTGCGGCCTTTGCTTCTTTGGTTAACCCTGACGAAGTTGGCAAGCCAGAAACCCATTTCAACATGGTGCTACGACAAGGCAGTTGGAACAATTTTGACACCAATCGGTATGCTTTGGCACTTACATGGAAAAGAGACAAAGCAAAAGCTTTCATCTCTTTTGTGTATCTTTGACCTTTGTTCTTCTTTTGGAAAAGATCAACCTGCATGGTGATGAAACTAACGATACTCTCTGGAAGCATTGTCCTCAGTGCATTGATTGCAATTTCTTTACTCATGTGTGGCTGCTTCTTTTTTTTCATGTTCAAGGCTTGACGTAAACGTTGAATTTTTTTCTTTTGTGTTGCAATTTTCTTTTTGTACTTCCCTATCCTTTTGTTGAGTTTGGCTTCTACACCGGGTGCAGTACCTGTCAGGTTAATTGAAAAGTCTATCAATGCAAAATTCAAAACATTGTGTAGTTGTGTAGTTCAAAACATATTGTGTAGTTTTACCTTGGCTAACTGTGTTTGTGTTTCTTTGCACCTCAGATTCAACTGGAGACGGGGAAGTATCTTCTATAAGTGATGGACAATTGTTTGTATAAAACACTCACTGCGTATGTATGGTATGATTTTCATCTGGTTTTACCTTGGCTAAAGTCTACACCATGTGCATGCCTTGACTTGTCTACTATATTCTTGTAATATATTGTGCAGTTTTACCTTGGCTAACTGTGTTTGTGTTTCTTTGCACCTCAGATTCAACTGGAGACGGGGAAGTATCTTCTATAAGTGATGGACAATTGTTTGTATAAAACACTCACTGCGTATGTATCGTAAAGGGGGAAATGTATAAAAAACCTCATTCAATACATTCAAACCATAAAAATTGTGCTGTTTTACCTATGCTTGGGTCACTTTGCAGTTTGCACCTCATGTTCAATGGGACATGAGGAAATGTTAACGAGAACTTTATGCGGCGAACCTAATGTTAACGAGGTAAGTTCTTTGTTTCACTTCATTTGCATTAGGTTCAGCGCATCCCCGTTTTTAACTTAGCCAAAGCCCTATTGACGTCTACTGGCTGGCATTGAAATATTATCATAAGAAACCATTATATGGCAGAAGCGCAAACTTAAAAACATAATAAGAACCCAATTAATGACCTATTATTACACAAATTAGAAAAACGCTTGCCTTGTTGATTGACATTTTCTTTAAAATTCACTCTGCTTAGCTGTTGTGCAATGGGCGGAAATGGTTGCTTGCTTGCACTTGGTGACAAAATTTTCACATGCATCTACAGAAGTGTAAAAATTTGCTGTGACTTTCATGATCAGTTCAAAGAAAATGTAATGTAGTCTTGTATGGTAGATTACGTTTGTTGCTAATACGGTATGTGCAAGAATCACCTTCCGTATTAAAGCACTCTTGTCGACAATGCGTATTATCCTTCTTTTTCTTTTTGACTGAATAAAAGATGAAGTAATTTTTTTCATAAAACAGAAAACTTGTTTTCTTATTGTAAACACGTCATGATATACATTTTATTTATATGGTTGCTTACAAGTGGTTTGCGGTTCCTCCCGAACCAAAAGCCTCCGCTTTGTGCAAATTCTCGGTGGAGGATTCGGTATTTCAAATAAAGTTGGAACAGCCCCAGTCTTCAGATTTTGTTTTGATTTGGTAAGCATTTTATCCTCAAAGTGGATACTGCATATGCGTATATTTTTATATAAATACTGTACATCCTTTTTTATTAAATCCAGTCGACGGCAGTTTATTGCCCATCTTTTTGACCTATTTAGGAGAAACGTACCCTTTTTGAGCAAATAATTTACCATATATAATTCGTTTTCAATATAAACTCACCTGACGGGGTCTTTTGGAAATCGGAAAAAAGACAAATTTGGGGTTTTTGTCTTGTTGTTGTGACAATTTGGTGCTGAGCATACACATTTTCCACTTTTTGTGATTTCTTTGTCCGATTTCGTCAATATTGGTTGCCGCTCAGCCATTTTTAATGGCGTAAAAAACTTGTACTAAGCCGTAACTACCTTTTTTCCCCCAAAAAAATCTAAAAAAATGCCATCCAACACTTCTTGAAAGCAATTGCTCGCAAATTGCTGGCCAGGTTTTGTCAAAAACACAGAAAATCATCACAGAGGAATCGTGCTTACGTGACGCGAATTTATACACAGAGGAGATTATAAGAACATACATGCTTTACAGAGTAAAAAATGGTAGTGTTTATTCTAACTGCTGTTGGAAGAAGTTTTATTTACACATACACCTCAATAGCATATGGCCTACATAGTGACTAATTTAAAACATTTGTTTATACTTTTATTGGATAAAAAAATAATTTGATTATATAATCATTTATTTGTCCATTTAATAGATTTGTAATAGTATTTAATAATATACTATTACAATCCAAAAGTTATTAAAGTAATCCAACCTGCAAATAATTTACCCAATATACAATCCAATAGTTATTGAAGTACACCAACAAGCAAATCATTTGTCCATTGTACAATCCAAAAGTTATTAAAGTAATCCAACCTGCAAATCATTTGTCCATATTATGCAACTAATAGTTATTGAAGTACACCAACAAGCAAATCATTTGTCCATTGTACAATCCAAAAGTTATTAAAGTAATACAACCTGCAAATCATTTGTCCATTACACAATCTAATAGTTATTGTAGTACACCAACAAGCAAATCACTGTCCATCATACAATCCATTTTTCAATTATAGTGCAATTCAAATGATATTGAGTCCACCAACCAGGCAGGGAACCATTTGTCAATTAAAATGCAAAGTTATTCGATCAGTTGGTAATCCAACCAGCAAATAATAAGTCCATCACAATCCAGTAGTTTTTGAGTCATTTATTGTTGCAGTACAGCAACCAGCACACAATAAGTCCATTACAATCCAGTTATTACACCAACAAGCAAAATGAGCAAATTATTTATCCATTGCAACATTTTTTGGTTGTTGTACACCCATTATGAACAAAAATAAGTCCATTACAGTCCAGAATTTATTGAGGTAATCCAACCAGCAAATCAAATGTCCATTGCAATCATCAGTATTACTGCAGTACAGCAACCAGTAAATATCTTTTCATTATTGTAGTATACCAGCCAGCAAATCATTTGTCCATTACAATTAATCCATATATTAAAGTGGAAGTACACCAAGATTATGGAAATCATTTGTTCTCGATGACAATATTATACAATCAAGTAGTATAATATATTGAAAGGAATGTGTAATTTTGTATTTATTATTAATAAAATTCTATTTGCCGGTAGCAAATTTACATATACTTATACTATTCAAAGCTTTTAAAGTCAAGGTCTCATAATAAAATGAATATAATACACATTCACTGAAAACATTCATAATTATGTATCTTTACTTCTCAAGAGAGTTGCCGTTCGAACATACTTTTTCACTCATTTTTCAAACATTTTTGATCAAATTTTCACCAAGCGAATTATCCCTGGGCTTTCTAAACAAAATATATTTTAGCTCTTACCTTACACTACAAAAAACGTTTAGAACATTTTCGCTAAAGCGGTTAATTTTTTTTAAATTGCATTTTTACTGGCAAAAATTCCATTTTTCCTCATTAAAAATGTGCTCGGAGCTTACCAGAAGGGAATCGGGTGTAAACGCTTACTAGCGCGCGCGAGTAAAAAAGTGGGGACGCGTCACTGAGCTATATAATTCCTGGAGGACCGGCTCGTCATCATTAAGTGAAGCCAAAAAGATGGCGGATTTTGAGCTTTGCTGACGCCACATGGTCCTAAATGGCCTGGGTAGTTACCGCTGACAAACCGCGATCCAAAGACAAAAAATGAGTCATCTCCCTCCTGGTTTTTCACAATAATACTTTGAATTTATTGTATAAATCTTTTTTCCCGCCTTGCAAGAAATTTTGAAAATGCCGAATTTTTGCTGCGTTTTTGGCTGTCATAATGACTTTTCCAGGAAAGATATTACTTCTCACCGGTAAGAAATATATAATTGTTTATACGTTCGTAGTTTTACAAGTAAATATTCATCAATTTAACGCGTTTAGTTTACAAGTGATGGCGTGAGCTTTTTTGTCCAATACTGGAGTTTTTTAACTTTTCATGTACATATTATAAACGGTATAAACGAAGATTAGATAAAGGAGACTTGATTAAAAAGTGATACAATTTTTCATTGTCAATGATTTTAATTTAAAAAATATTTTTTTACCGAAAACGTGTATCAAAAACATTTCCACGTTCATAGTTATTCACAGACGTAGACGTTGGTTTATTTATTATATGCATATTGTAGCTTTCCTGACGCCGAGAAAAATCCTGAGATGTATGCTGAATGGATAGAAAACATAAACAAGAATGCCGAAGTTAAGTTTATCCCGACAAAGGGGAGTCGTATTTGCTCTGAACATTTCAGTGTTGATATGATGCAACAGATTGGAAAAAGAAAGATGCTGCTTCCAGATGCTGTACCTACCCTATTTCAAAACTCTCAGGTTTGTGCATTTTATATGCATTGGTCCAACGAGTAAAAAACTAAAAATATGCCTGTGCAATATATTCCCAGCTGTTATATTCCGGTACAGTGCACATGTATGTCAGCAAATTGCAAATTATATATACTGACACAAATTTAGATAATGCTTGCTGCTAATAACTTAATTGATTAAGATTAAGTGTGACATATTAATTAATATTTGGTATATATTTCCTTGTACAAAAGTTACCTTCCAAAACAGAAAGTAAATTTTTCCTACATATAATATATGGATGTGAAAGATATAATTATATTGCAGTTAGTTAGTCCACACAGGAACTGTTGCTGACAAGATAGTTCATTATATATGCAGATAGAACCAAGAACAGGCTATAAATGGCAAACAAAGGCTGAATTCATGTACACTAAAACCAAGTGAAAACATTGTAGAAATTTTAGTGGCCCTGCAAGGCTAAAATTTAGCCATGATATTGAAAATTTATCCAGTCCAATTATATATTTATTTAACAGTTGGTGAAATTTCTGACATTTGATAATGTCATATAGAAGGCAACATGCAATTAGTTGTTTGTATTCACACAATTTACTGAAAAACTTATTGATTTACTAAAAATTGTCAAGTTAATTTGTGCCTGTATGTGATTTTTTTTATTCCTATCCACATGTTTGTCACTAATTTTGACTTTAAGGGAGTGGGAACTATGTTTTCACTTCTGTTTATAAAAAATATTAACATGCAATTTTAATTAATTGCCTCCAAAGGTAATGCCAAATGAGGAAGTTGTAGAGGTTGCATCAAAAGATATGCCAGACAGCAATAACTTGGAATCTGAATGTAGTCCTGGCAGAGATTGTGTGAGTGTGGATGAATCTGTATCTGAACATGCTGTAAGTACAGACAATTTGGGTGTAGAGAGTGTCACAGGAGATACAAATACTGGGTGTACTGGTAATGTAAGTATACAGGGTGTCAATGAAGAGGTAATTAAATTAGTAGTCAAGGAATAAAACGAAAGCTCTCAGATGATGACATGATTAGAAATGAGGTAAGTACTTCAGAAAGAGTAGATATAAGTCATGTGAATCATGATCATACTTATCATGTAAGTAAATCTCCTCGTAGAATGAAGCAACAGGTAGATGATCTTGTAGACAAAATATCTGATTTGAAAAAGAAGTATAAGGTGTCGCTACAGAAAACAAGACGGTTAAACAGAAAGGTTAGCTCTTTGGCTTCAGTGGTAAGTGAACTGAAGGAGGAAAATCTTATAAGTAGTGATTGTGCTACTCTTTTGGAGACCACCTTTTCTGGAGTTCCAAAGGAACTGATGAAAAGGTTAGTATCACAGAAAGAGGGGGTGAATCCTGGCGCGTATCCACCTGAGCTAAGGTCATTTGCGCTGACCTTGAAATTTTATTCGACAAAGGCGTATAATTATGTCAGAAAAAGCTTTGATCTAGGTTTGCCACACGTATCTGTGATTCGATCATGGTACACCTCGATGGACGGTGAACCTGGTTTCACGAAGGATGCGTTGACTGCTTTGAAAGCCAAAGTTTTAGCTGAAAAAAAAGATGATGGCAAAGAAGTTGTTTGCGCTCTGAGCTTGGACGAGATGTCCATACGTAAACACGTCGAGTGGGATGGTCACAGAATGCGTGGCTATGTTGACCTTGGAACGGGCATTGAAGACGACTCGCTGCCTGAAGCAACCGATGCCCTTGTGTTTATGGCGGTTTGTGCAAACTCAAGTTGGAAAATACCCTGTGGATATTTTCTGGTAAGTGGATTGACTGGTGAAGAGAAAGCCAACTTGACAGAAGAATGTATTCAGAAATTACACGACGTTGGTGTGAGGGTGATTTCATTCACTTGCGATGGTCCTCAGTCCCACCAGGCGATGCTGAAGAAGCTTGGGAGCTAAGTTGTCTCCTGACGATCTACAAGTGTATTTTAAGCATCCGTCTGACCCCGAAGCAAAGATCTATATATTTCTAGATGCTTGTCATATGATAAAGCTTGTACGTAACGTTATGTCGGACTGGAAAGTCCTGAAAGATGGAGATGACAACACCATTCAGTGGCAGTTCATCGAGAAACTGCATGAGTTGCAGAGTCGGAAGGTTTGCATCTTGCAAATAAGCTCCGAGTAGCGCATATTAAATGGAAGCCACAGAAAATGAAGGTAAACCTAGCAACGCAGGCCCTCAGTTCGAGTGTTGCTGATGCGCTAGAATACTGTGAAGGTAAGCTGAAATTGCCACAATTTCAGGGATGTGATCCAACAGTGAAGTTTATACGTGTTTTTGATCGCCTCTTTGATGTTCTAAATTCCAGAAACCGGCTGGCGAAGCATTACAAAGCGCCAATCAAGAGATCGAACTATCAGTACACGAAGAAGTTTCTGGACCAGGCGAGTGAGTACATTTGAAATCTGAAGGGTCCTGATGGTAGATCGATTTTCCAGACGAGAAGGAAAACCGGATTTCTTGGTTTTCTGATTTGCATCAAAGCAGTTCTAGGATTGGCTGATGATCTGGTTATGACCGAGAAACCAGTCCTGGATTATCTACTGACGTACAAGATCAGTCAAGATCACTTGGAGTTGTTCTTCGGTGCCGTGCGAGCATGCGGAGGATGGAATAATAATCCAACCACACGCCAGTTTGTAGCAGCTTACAAACAACTGCTGATGAGACACAACATTAAAGGAGGACGTGGAAATTGCGTTGCTCAGGATGACACGGAAATTCTAAATGCCCTTCAAGACCAGTGTGATATTGACAAATCATCGACTGGCATTTTAGATATAACAATTGCAAAGAAATACGACTTGGAGGTGAGACAGCCAGCAGCCGTCGATCATGATTATTGTGACGTGTCCAATGTCATAGAATTGTCGGAATACAAAGAGGCTGCAATATCATATATTGCCGGGTATGTGGTGAAAATGGTACTGAAGAAGATCCACTGTATGAAATGCACAACGGCTTTGACCACGTCAGAAGAGAACATTCCAGATTTGTTCGTAACGTGGAAAACGAATGGGGGTCTCAAGCTGCCATCACGTGGAGTTATCAAGATCTGTGAAGAAACGGAGAAGTGCATCGTCAGAATGCTGAATTCAAACCAAGGTGGTTTACCGCAAAGCACCGGCCTTTCAAGTGCGATTGCCAAGACGGTGTTAGAAATCTGTGTTAAAGCTGGGGTCTTCAGTACGTTAAATGAACACATGTTTGATTCGAGTGCAGTTGATAACCACCTATTTGCTTTGATCAAATGCTGCTGTCAGAGTTACGTAACGATCCGTATGCATCATTTGTGTAAGTTGAGGAATGCAAGAATGCATGAGAAGGTAGTACGTAAGCAGTTTTCAAAGCTTGTGTTGTTCAAACACCAGTAGAGTTGACACGTGCCTGGGCACTCTTGTGGTGCTTTCGAGGTTTGCCTGTATGCCTTGGAATGCAATGTCAATCTAACTGACTATGGCCATTTAAAATTGCAAACATTTGAAATTTCATAATTTCTTTTTAAAATAATATTGAACGTTTTACATCTTTACCAAAATTTAAACAATTTTTTTATTAAAAAGAGAAAATTAATTTATTCATATAATGTATCTGGCCTGCGACCTCATTTCTAATATTTCAGTTAATATAGACATTGCATTTTTCGAAGGTTGGGCGTATCCTGGCACAATTATTTGTGTTGCGAGGAAGTGTGCATTGTTGAGAATGCATGGTCAACGGAACCTGCACATTTTAGATGTGTCTAGGGGTTGACAGAGTATTAAACGTGTGTACGGTGTTTGATAACACTTAATTAATTATTTAATATGTCAATTGATATGTCACTAGAGGTAAATATTACGTTTTTGTTCTCTATTTTTTCAATGTGTTTCAATTCATGCAATTCTCCCATTATAATTTTGTGTCTTTTTTTATCTGTTAGGTTAAGAATACATTTTTGGCACCTTAAAAGATTCCACTACAATCATAAAAGAAATTATTTATTATTGTTTATTATTATGTAAAATATAGATTATAGAAATTTTGTTTTATATTTATTAATGTCACATAACCTAATGCATTTAGACTTCATTTATTACATAGGACTAATAATAGTATAACCACACAGGCACGAGCACTGTAATATAATGTCAATGTTTGGCTAGCCATGCAGATATTCCATCTTTCTTGACACTTTTTGGAGTTGTCCAATAAGAACACTCAAGATATTGTATTACAAATGAAAAGTATCGATCATTTGTATCAATCAGATTGATGGCAGCTGAAAATGATGGAGCAATTTATTAATTTCCACAAACAATCCATGCACATTGTGGTTCTAAAGTCATGATAACACATTCGTAAGCTGGACAAGAACAAGAAAATCTTCCAGATACAGAGTATGTTACAGAAATTACGACAAAATGGTCAATAAATTTATTGTCACAACTATTTGATGATTCACAAACCAGTGATACCACTACTGTGAAAATCGTATTAGATACATAACAAGATCATGGAGAAAAGATATTGAAATATGAAAACCATCAGCAATATTTTCTTCCTGACAAAGTATTATGATGCCAATTGATGATATGCAAACCAATATGTGATACTGGTCCCACAAACAATCATGGAGAAAATATAATTAAGAAAACTAGTCCAGTCCACAATATAAAATTATTCTTTGCTTGTCATAGTGTCATGAAGCCAATTATGGACATTGGTTATTTGACCAGATCAAGAACGAAGAGTTTTAATTTCCATCACTCCTATGGTCATATAGAGTGTCCAAGAGGGAATGGGGTTCAGGATGTCAGAGAGAGAATGGTTTATATGCTTTGGCAGTTAAACATTGACAGTGTAAATCTGTAAAATAAAGATAAACTGTAACACTGAAATTAGAAAATTATATAATGATCCCTTCTAATTTTTGTAACACTGAATTGTTTCATACAATTTATAATTTTTGAGGTAATTAATACATAGTTTAAATTGTGATTATAATGTTGCATTGAAGATATAGTTATTAAATTGTACAATTTAATCTTTGACTTACATGGCTTATAATTTAAACTTTACATCATATGGTAGTGAATATAATACTAGTCTAATTATATTGCTCTTACTTTAATTCAAAGGTTATATGCAGGATAACCAATTCCAAAAAAACTAGCAAGGTTTTATTATACATGTATATAGTACGTACGCAAATATCTGCAGGCAGTAGTCATAGAAGTAGAGGTCAATGATTACAGCCCATTTTTTTCTCCATTTTGCTGAGTATACTATAAATTACATAACTGTATGTTATTATTGTGAATACTCTATCTGGGCCAATCAAAACTAAATTTACCATGGATATTTTATTTAGGAATATGCCGCAATTGTAAAAAGAGGGCCCACTGGGCAATCAATTGCAAAAAATGTATGTGTTTTTTAGTTGTTTGTTATCACACCTAGAGTATGAGAATTGAGGGTCAGGTAGGGGATGGAGACTAACATTGTATGTTTTTTTAATAGTCACAATATCATATTTTATTCATTTCAGCGCAAAATAGAAATGGATAAAGTGAGAGAAATACATGCAGTTGTACTAAATGATGCTATGAAATCCGTAATTTTTCTGGCAACTCTTCCACCTAAAAAGTCTTCTTTCATACCCCAAATAGGACAATATGAAGTGAGCTGATAGTTTAACTCATTATAATTAATTAACTGCATGGTCATAAACCAGTTCATAGTAATTGTTGTGTTTATACATATAGCAGAGACCTTATCAATAGACAATTGTTTTTTTTTTATTGATAATAGTCTACATCATACAGGTAATTACAGGTAAAATCTATTGTATATATTTTGTAGAAAAGAAGATGTTTTAAATATGGGGAACCTAGGCATATGGTCAGAGTCTGCCAATCCACTGTATTGCACTGAAATGCATCCTGAACAGCTGAAACAATTGTTCTGTTACAGTTTCTAAAGAAACAATATTTTTCATTTTCCAAGTGTGCAGGTTACAAATGTTCTCAATGGACCTTAAATTTTTGCATTAAAGTTTCAGACCCATGCATAGCTCATGTTCAAATGGAAATTTGAAATTTTAACCTTCACACTTGTCCTGGTTTTAACCATTGTGATTTAACTTTTGTTGGTTTTGTTAATGTTGCATTATGGAATTTAAATAGCCAACAACCTAAAATTAAAAATGTTTCAAAATGCTACTACTACTATATAGATAATGAAGGTAATAATGACATGCATAATTAAATATTTTATGAAATCTCTACATGAAACTTAACACATTAGTTGTAAGAAGAAAATTGTAACTTTCGGAATCTCAAACTATTGGAAATTTGATTGAGTATAGTTCAATTACATCTATAATTGCTACAAATATTCAATAAATTTTACAATGATAATCCATATGATGTAAAATACTTAATACCTTTCTTTCCAAACAATTCAGTTGCAACTCCTGTGGTCCATGCATCCCAATAGGGAAATGGTTTTGAAGAGTACATGAAACTGAAATCACCTTGAAAGAAAAACACAATAAAATGAAGTGCAACAGACATTGCAAAAATTGTCAAATATGCATCCCTGCCATTTTCCCTTGCATCCTTCTAGGGTTTGTCAGTACTGCACAATGCACAGTTTAATACCAGAGACAATCAAACTTACTTTCCAATTAAAAAAGGTGGTGTTCAATGGCAAAGCCAGAACGATAATTAGGGTCTTAGGGCCATATTCATATATTCCTGATATGCAGGATTGTCTTTACAGTCTGTTAATATCATAAATATATGAATATGGGCCCCCCTAATTATCAATGCTGGCTATGCCACTGGTAGTGTTATAAATTGTATTGATATATGAAGGTATGACAAGTATGGTAAGTGCGTCCTCCTAGGTGGTATGCAATTATTGCACTTTTTATCACAATTTGTAACAGGCCTGTATCACTATATACACTGAGCCTGGAAAAATGGCTAACAATGTGAATGATGCATTGTTTTTTTTGGCTTTGAAATGATTGGCCTGGTTTACACAATTAAAGGGTAAAGACACTTTTTTAATACCTGTTAGCCAATAATTAAAGATAGTCATCACTTCTGAAGTTTTCAGGGCTTTTTTGTCTGTAGAAATAAAAACAAATAGTTGACGCAATGCACGATTTCACATAAAAAAGTGTTTGAATGAGTTTATGTTACTTTCATGAATTTATTACAAGCCCTTAAGATTTCCAAAAAAACAAGGGATGTGCACAAAGCAACGGTTTATAATAATATAAGAAAATATAAAATAATAATAGAAAATACCTCTTTCACTTCAAGACTGCACTTCCATATTTTTCTCCGGCTTGTATTTGTTTTTTTTTCATGTGGACGATGAAGGCGCGGACGTTTTAAGAAATATTGTTTAAAAAAAGTTCAAATATCAGCCAGCTGTGGTCTGCGAAACCGTTTCTTCCTTCGTACGTTTTTTTTAACACAATTATTCTAAACATCGTGTCAAAACATTTGTGGCGCAGGCAAGAGAATTACAATATGTTTGCCGCAGTATTTAAAAAAAACAGGGGGGAGTGATTGTTTTAGCGGGCTCAGATTTGAGCCTGGTCAGTGGTAACTACCATGGCCATTTAGGACCAGGTGGCGTCAGCAGAGCTTCTACGCATGCGCAGAAGGGCGAAGTCCGCCATGTTGGTGGCTTCAAAAAGATGGCGGCGAAGTTACTGAAAAATGACGAGCCGGTCCTCCAGGAATTATTATATAGCTCAGTGGGACGCGTGGAGCCGCGAGTCGACTCTCTGTCAATCTCTCCTCTGTGGCCACGCCCCTGCATGCAATTCCAATCAAGCTTTAATCAAGTTAAATTTGCTATTGTGCAAAATATTTCGCGTCTAAATATTTCTACATGACACATCAGACTGTGCGGCTGTTTAATATATCAGCTAGACTAAAAACTAAAATAGTTAAGACTAAGTTGATGTGTAAATTATTTTTACAACAATATTCACATACCTAGTTATACATACCCTGGAAGGAAAATTTCTATTGTTGAACGAAATCATTAGTGGAAGTTAATAGACTTCTAGACGTTAATAGACACTTAGAGTAGTAATTAAATCTCCAAAGGAAAGATTCTCAGTTTTTTCTAACAGTCTAGTCGCCGCCGATCAATTAGCACGAACTTTAAGCGTAGCTGTAAGTGATAAGGACACGACGACAATCAAGGTTTAGTGAATAGTGATTAACAATAGTACATGTCCTTTTTTTATATGATTTACGGGACTTATAACTACCAAGTCGAGTATTAATTAATAGAACCAACACTCTTTAAATTTCAGGCACACAACAACGTATTTGAACACGATGTAATATATCCACGATCCTTTAGCGATTAAATAAAAAACGTATAACAGCCAAAGCCAGTACCACAATAACTCCTCCACCAAATAAGTAACGATTTCCTGTGACGTTTTCTTTCCATCCCTCAGTATCAGGCTCCTTTATTGATTCTTCTCTCGTGTTTGATACTTCTCTACGTTGCTCTTCCATGTCTTTCTCCTCATTCTTTTTTTCTTCCAATTGACATTTCTCTTTTTCATCATGAACCGGTTGCAGATCTTTATCATCAAAAAGACCACGCAATGCTTGATGGCAAACTTCCCCTTTCTTCTTATCAATAGTGGCGACTACATTAGAAATATTCTCTAGATTCATTTCAGTAGTCAACATCGCTGGCTCTTTGGGCAGGGACAACTTCCACTCCAGGAATTTCTCTTCAGAGAATAGTGTGCTCTTTGTATGCAAGGCACTTCGCCCTCCATTCCACCGTGTTTCTGTTTTATCCAAGACAGTCTTCTTTGCCATCTCTGTCGATACTTGGTACTTGGGACCCACTTTAGTCCCGATAACTCCACTTAGATCCGCACCAACTGATCCATCTACTGAGTTATCATCTTGTTTTGATGCTTCCAAACCTTCAGTGAAGGTTTTTACCTCAACTGCTCCTCCAACATAAGCTGAAGTGACCACGAAATGACCGAAACGATTAAAAAAATTCATAAAATCGTGCTTGCATTTTTCGTCGCCTGTGTATTGGTCAGGTAATTTTTCAACAGCAGACACAAAATCATCTGTGGTGGAGATCTTCTGGGACTCGAAATTTCCAATAATAATCTTAGCAATTCGATATTCTTGCAATGAAATCGTGGTGGTCTTCGTAGACTTGCTACTACCATTTTCCTTCTGATTTGCACTTGCTTCGAACTTAGGCGCCATTCTCAATATGTTCTGTGCAAAATCAAGGCTTACGCCGAGACATTTCAATCTATGCTTTACATGCAATTCATCGGACTGAAAGTTCATTTGAAATTCCCGAGTCTCGTTGACTTTGACGATTTCAGCGCAAGTAGGGATATTAAAACCATACTTTGTTTCATTTACAGCTGATAACTTAAAAATATCAGTGGTGACACTTTTGTCCAATAAGATATTATATCCTCGGCCAACCACGTCAGCTATAAAAGAAACAAAATCGCTCTTAATGGGATGTTTACATGTATGATCCACCTAGCTTATGCGAGTTGAGGCGTAAAATGATTTTGAAATATAAAAGGTAAAATGGAGTATAATTATTACAATAACATGAAACTAGTCATAATATTCTTATACGTTTGCGTGGTGACATCAAATAAGTAAATTAACTGGGAGGTACACCACGTAAGTATTTACTATTGCAAGGCTTTCGGTCCGTAAACCTGGGGCTTCGTCAGTGTAATAATTTACAATTTTTGAATGAAGTTGAACATGATATTTAACAGTTATTCTGCGAACTCGAGTCGTATATGAGCTGATAGTTATAGCTGACGTTGAGCTGACGTTTTATTATATACACAAACTTTGTCGCCCTTTCGGTGCATTTTGGTGTGCTATTATCAGCTAAAGCTTAGATTTCTATTTCACTCAACTCCCGAAGTCTTTCAGCCATTTTGTTTACTTTCTATACTAGACAGATTTGAGCTATAATATCTGTCTAGTAGCCAACTAATGAAATTGCAGCATACCTAATATCTGGCGCTTGTGTATATAATAATTCTTTATTATTATATACAATATACACAAGCGCCAGATATTAGGTATGCTGCAATTTCATTGGTTGGTTACTAGACAGATATTAGCTCATATCTGTCTTGTAGAGAAAGCAGACAAAATGGCTGAAAGATTTGGGAAGTTGAGTGAAATAGAAATCCAAGCTTTAGTTGATAATAGCACACCAAAATGCATCGAAAGGGCGACAAAGTTTGTGTATATAATAAAACAGTTATTCTGCTCACTCTCGTCGTATATGGCCGACAGCCACTCGAGTTCGCAGAATAACTGTTAAATATCAAGCCGAAGTTTGTGATTATTAACCGAAGACGAAGACTGCGGTGGATAATAACAAACTAAGGCTTGATAATTCTTCATATAATGTGAAAACCGAATTCAATAATTGTGATGAACATTACAATTTTGAATTGTTCTCTTGAAGTTGTTTCGGTTTCACATTTCCGCCCTTTTGGCACAATTTAATGATATACAGTTATGGAACTCGCGGCGGAACCCTTTGATGTTGCTGTCCCCCTGCCTACGCTATTTCACGCGCCACGCAAATTGCTCTGGCAAGTGTATTTTGACTCTAAAGTAAAGGAAAAAGGTGTTCGAAAGACGAAAAATGTTAATATTTTAAAGCTGGCTCTATTGATCTCTTTTTATTGGCCTAAATCTTAAAAACAAACGGTAAATGTTTTTTTTTAAAAAAATATATGCGTTAGGTTAATAAAGAGGTAAGAAATACAAGCACGAATGATTTTCTTTATAAATATCAAGCTGATTGCCAACATCGATTAGAAATTAGGCAGTTATTTTTCCATCCAGAAAACATCTGAGCTGATCTTAAAACAAGCATGATTGATATGTTATTTCTACAATTCAAAACACACGAAAAAATTTCTTTGAAAATAATTTATTCTGCCATAAAGCTAGCAAAAACTACATGTTTTTTATTCGAATCTTGAACTTGAATTCAAAGGATTTACAATAAACAAATACAACTTTTACCTATATATACAATACTTTTTACATGAGTATAAATCCAAATTCACACACAAATGGCAAATGCCAACAGATATTAACTTCAGTTCATACATGATTGTAATATTCATGAAGGACATGCAAATCAATTTCCAATCTAATCTATTCAATTCTGTGTGGCTTCCATGAGAAGATTGAAAGCTATTTTCCAATTTTTTGATGTGAATATTTAATGAAAAATATAAATATTTTGTGCTCTGAAACTATAATATGGTGATGAACTCAATGTGTCCTAACCTTCCCTTTTACATGGAGTTTTAATGTTGTAGAATGTGCATTGCATGGATAGATTCAAGAACAAGGCTTTTTGTTGAGATTAATTACATGAATGAATTTAGACCAAGCCTAAATAATTTGAACAGTGAATGCATAAAAATGGTAATATAAAAGCTTACCTAACATAAATTTCTTATACTAATATGCAAGCTATATATCTGTAGAACCGTTGTCTAACCTTGCTGCTGCTGCTAGATAATTTAGTTCAAGAATTTCCATTGGTACCGGCCCGAAGAGGGTCCGAAGAGTCCAAAGTGAAATAATAGTACACATAGGAGACATAATAGGGTTCACAAATATCAGTAAACTGCGTATACGTTGTAAAACGTTTTTTAATAGCCATCTAACTTGCTATCTTGAACAGTAGAACTAAATGACTTGATATGTCATCTGCTCAAAAGTTAACTTTAAGAAGATTGTTTTGCCATCTAGAAAAAAATACGACTGCATGTTGGCGAAATATAGTCATATAGACCTACATTTATTAGATGAAATACCAAACTTTGAATTTTTACCTGGCAGTTCTAGAAGCTTCGTGTGAAAATCACACTCCTCGTAGTTGTATTTACCGTTTTTTACCGTTTTAATTCGTATTATCGCAGTCATTTTTAATCCAAAAGGAGCAATGTCGGAAAGATAAAAAAAAATTGTCAAAAGAGACCAAGAGCAAAAGACCCTTAATTGGCTTTAAAATTACATTTTTTTCTGCTAAAAAATCGAATTTTCCTTTTTAAAAAGTGCAAAAACACTTGCCAGAGCCTAGCGCATGCGCATTAAAAACAGGGGACAAGATTCGCCGCGAGTTCCACCTCTGTGTTCATCTGTGTAGTCCACTGTTGTGCCTTTGGGACGTTGGAATGATAACTTAGAAAAATTGAAGCCAGTGCTTTTTACTTTTTCTGAGTTATGAGTTGAATTATTTGTCCCCAAATGTTGAGCCGTATATGAAATTAAAACAATAAAAAAGTTATATTTCGTGTGGAAATTTCGAGAGTTAAGCTTAAAGGGAAATATCTAAAAAATATTTGAAAATTTCCCGGTTTTTTGCCGGTGGTAGGTAAACCTCCCTATCCAGCGCCAAAAATACGCGACGCGCGGGGTTGATGACATCATCGGAAATGGTCGGAAAATGTTCGGGCAAACATCAGGTCACGCGACGCGTGGTGTTGATGACATCATCGGGAACGATCGGAAAAATGCTCGGGCAAACATCGGCAAGCAGAAATATATTCCATCAGTCTTACCACCGCAGAGATTCCATGAGCACGCATGTGCTGCGCTGATCATAACACGTTTCGCTAGATACCGTTTTGGTTTGCTGATCGTTTCGAACAAAAATTTTTCTTCAAATATCTTTCTTTTTCGGCCACATCGAGTTTCAATCGATGCCAATCCAGCTATTTATGGTAATTGTGAATTACTCTTGACTAGTTTATCCGCGAAATATTTCCTGGATAGAGGAAATATCCAGCTATGAAAATCATGGACGAGCTCGAAACCAGCGTGATTTCGAACCAGTGCGCGTCCAGTAATGATTTTTCTGGTTCGGCGATGCCGAAGCCAAATGGAAAAGAAAGCGAGTGAGAAACGACTTCGCAGTGCAAAGTTGGACGCCTTGGAAAAAGATCAAACCGCAGCGGACGATTTCGAAAGCAGAATTAATGCGTTGATAGTTACTGACCTGTGATTTCTGACCACGATTAAATACTTTATTAGAAGCATGACAGTTATGAAAACATAAAAAGATTTAATACCTGAAAAAGATGAATCACTTTCATTTTTAATTCCAAATTTCTGTTGAAGCATTTTAAAACAATGATCGGTAATCTCTCCGTCATAAAGACAATTTATTGCTGCCAGTGATACAGACTGTAATCTTCCTTCCTTTGACAAACCCATAGAGTTCATCCAGATACCAAGTTTTAAAACTTTCTCTTGTTGTGTTTTGTCGAGTTTGTTTTCTTTCACATAGTCGTTCACAAACATGCCGACTCGATTCAAACCTTAAAATCGATTTTTACCAATTAAAATTGTCTTTTTAAAGGAAATTGGCAATAAAAAATATTTAAAATAACTCCAAAAACAATATATAATACCAACCTCCTTTTGCATCATCGCTAAAAGCATTTGAAAATTCTTCCTCTTCATCAGACAATTCTTCACTTTGAGAATCCTTCGCCTCAACTTTATGACCTTCTTCTGTTGGGTCCTTTTTAGCTCTTGTGAAACAAGAATTAAACGCTAATAGGCCAAAGCGATCTTTATTTCGATCAAGAAGCTCCGCACAGGCGTCGTATAAGTTCTTAGGCTGTCTCTCGCTATTCGGTAGAATTGTAAAATCACCTGCTTTCTCAAGTTCATGGTCATCGAAGTCATTTTCTATCAATACCACAGGTGCAGAGACGCCAAGCACGTTAAACACGGTAGCTGAAATTGCATCTTTCTTTTCTTGTATCTTTTTTTCCCATTTTTTCACATTCCGGTGACCAAAAGAGCAGCAAAATGTTGCAATCACAACAAGATTTGGATGACTTGTGTCAACCACTTTGAGCAATTTAATCCCCCTAAGGCATTTGGAAAAACTGCTCTTCTCACGCTCGATCCGGGTAGTAAGGACGTTAACCACCAAAAATACAAGATTTGGATAAGTAAGCTGATTTGGTAAGCCTGGATGTGTTTCAAAAAATCTTTTAATGGAAACGAAATTACAAGCATCTTGCTTCACACCAGCATCATCATCATTAAATCCTGGTGTATCTATAATACCCATTTTTAAATCACAAACTGCGTAATCTTGGTTGTCAGTGGTAAGAATGTATTCTCTGGTGGTTTTAGTTTCGGACTTGGAACTACTGGTGACCGCAACAGGAGTTCCTTCTCCTGTATCAAGTAAATGGTTTATTGTAGACGACTTCCCAACCCCACTACTTCCTACCAACAAAATCATGGCAGAATTACATGGACGTTTTATCTTTGCACTCGAGAGTAAACAGTGGTAAAGCTTTGCTCTGGGAGGTGGGTCGGAGTCCCGATGAAGGTTTTCAAATAATCTCATTTCCTCCATAAAATCTTCAGCTGAAGCTGGCAAAGGTTTCAATTCATCAGGATTCGTTTCCATTGCCATTCAAATGTATTTAAAAACCTATGAAACAAAAATATTTTATTACCATATTGCTTGGGAATGTTGAGGACAATGAAGTGATAGATGATAATAAATGATAGAGTTGAGTCAGTTGGCCACCACCATCGCTAAATTTCTCAAATATGTTAAGATGTGCTATTCCATTCGACAATATATTTATTTCCGAATCGTCCTATTGTTTTTAACATTGCATATTAAAAAGAAAGTTCTTTAAATCTGACAATGCTTAGTCAACTTGTGCAGTATCAATGGTGTCAGTGAACTGCACAGATTTGCCAGGCGCGCGACCTGATAGAATGGGCAGAAAATCCGGACAAAATTAATATTCTACATCCGGGGGGGGGGTTCTTACGCCTCGCCTGCATTGCTCTACAAAGTCAAAGTGAAACCCAAAAATGGGAAATGCGTCGTATAGAAATGATGTTTTGGACTTCAACCAATTTGGTTGGAATTTACAATCTAATATTAAGCAATACAATGGAGAAATTTCATATCGAGACTGAAATCACTCGATGTACTTGCGTACAATGTACGCAAGTTAACCACGTGATTAATTAATCATCCGACAAACTAGGTTTTGTGCAACGCAGTTATTAAGTCGTGTAGTTAACTAATTATATAGTTAAGGAATTAACTACAGTGATTAGCGATGATCAATAACAAGATCAATAACAAGTCCCTGATGGTCACAGAAAAAGAAAAAGATTTAGGTATATGGATCACGTACAGGAGAAATATTACATTCAGTGGCGACACATATCCAACGAAGAGAATCCTGCCAACTTGGGTAGCAGGGGAGGAAAGGTCAGCGAAAAAGGGCACCCCTGGTGGAAAGGGCCAAAGTGGCTACCACTTTGTGGTGGGTCGCGAGAGTACAAGAAAGAAACAAGAACACAGCGGAATTTTTGTTTTATTTTGTTTTATTTAACTTTGCCAAGTAATATGCAACATTTACCAATATATTTACAACAATATACAATATGGAAAATTGGAAGGGTGCACGCTACAGTTTTCACCAATTACAGCAGCCCCATAAACTATACTAATACTATACAACAAACACAAATCTAATAACAGCACGATATTTGACAGGACAGATTACGAGATTTGTTACAAAACAAACATATAGATTTCCATGTCCTTGGGTCATCAACGTCAAAAACGTCTTCCAGTGCTAACTTGTAATATTTAGAAAGTCCGTTTTTGAATTGTCCTAAACTGATGTTATTGTTTGTCAAACTCTTTGGTAGTACGTTCCATAATCTCTTTGTTCGGTTGAGAAATGACCTTTGGTAGGTAGTGGTCTTGCATTGTACCATTGTAAATGACAGATGATTAGGATCAGACGACCTGGTATCTCTTCTGTTGTTATTGGGTGACGACTGTATTAAATCATTGTCAATGGTCATGATGCCATGCGTTAGTTTGTAGAAGGTTATCATATCTTGAAATTCATGCCAGTAGCACAATGGGAGGAGGTCTAAAAGTGCGAGTCTCTGGTTGTAGGTTGTGTCACAACGGAAGGGCAGATTTAGAACGTACTTTGTTGCGCGTCTTTGAAGTCTTTCCACGCGTTTGATTAAGGTCACTGATTGTGGTGCCCAAATTTGAGATCCATAGCAGAGCTGTGGAAGATCGAGCAAAACTAAGCCTTCCAGTAATGTTATTCTTGTCTTTCATGGTCGCATTCAAGGCGATCACCCAATCTACCTCCCAGACAAAGACCATTTTACCGAGAAGTTAGTGGTGCGCATTCCCATAAGTGTCCCTTCATGGGGGGTGGGATTGACTATAGCCCAGGTTTGAAACGAGTACTTGATCCAACGACTAAGAAGAATCGCTAGACGAGTGAGAAAGAACTGTTTTGGTTGCAAACGTTTCCACGCATCACGATTACCAAACCCTCAACCGGGAAAGTTACCGAGAGATCGATCGTCAGGAGAGCCCGTCCCAAGTCGTAGGAATCGATTACGAGCAAGAACATAAAGCCTACATCCTAGTCTACGCCTGCTCCTTGGCGCGTGCGCTGTACCTTGAAGTATAACGAAAACTCTGAGAACAGAAGAGTTCCTTACCAACTTGAAAAGGTTTATAGACGGCCGGAGAAAGTATACTCAGATGTGAAGACATTTGTTCCTGGAGCGAGGTGGCTAAAACGAATTATGCATGACGAGAGATTCAACGATGAGTTGGCGAAGATGGCTATCAAGTGACAGTTCAAGTTGAATCGAGCGCCTTAGTCGGGTGGCCAGTACAAGAGATTGATAGGTCTTATCAAACAAGCGCTGTACAAATCTTTCGGTAACGGGCATCTTTCTTGCACAGAGTTGGAAGAAGTGATCCTGGATATTGATTGAGGTGGAATTGCAGATCACGATCTTCGGAAACGAGCAAGGTACATCCAACGGTGCAAAGATGTCGTGTGGAAGAGATGGTCGTCCGAGTACCGCATAAGGCTTCGAGAAAGACACAAAATGAAACACGGCGAGAAGGTGATATACGTGGTGATAAGATAGTCTTATTCGTGAACAATTTGAAAAATATCTAAAGTTCAATTGATTGGTTATATGTCCTCGGAAATTTACAAAACGTGAAACTTTTTGCATAAACATGGCCGAAATTAGATGTGATAATTTGTGAAATTGTATATTTGTACAAACAGATAACTTTTGTTCTTATCATAGTAAATAGTTTCCCCAACACTTGGAAAATTGTCAAAGTAGAAATTTTGCACATATCACGCATACGTGATCCATATGATTGACGAAATGCTATTAGCTGGCTTAAGCTGTTACTAAAATTTAATCGGCTCACAAAATAAAACAAGAGATGACTGATTAAATTCGTTAAAATTATCGATTATTATCTGTGAAGTCATTCCGTGCGTCTTTCCTCTTACAGATCACGGCTCTCGACCAATGAAATTGCTTGAATTCTTAACGTTATTATATAAATAAAAATAAATCGAAAATTACAGACATGGATAATTTACATGGTACAAATGCGAGGCTGCAAACTTTATTCTGTTATTTTAACGAAAAAAATTTTGCGATTTTTGTAATTCAATGGTTTGATTAACTGCCGCTTATAACTGGGCAATGAACTGTTCAGTGTTAAATTTGGAGGTGAGTAATGTGCCTTTACGGCTTTACCGAAATATTTTATGCGATACATATTGGCTGACGAAGGCGACAGGCATAGTGTAATAAACTATATTTGTATATAATTATATTTTCAAATTTTGAAGTGGAGGTATTATAATTTTGGCCCGTGGCATAGAAATAAGGTTTTAGTATTGGAAAAAAAACTTGCTGGGTTGACTCTCTTATATATACAGTAAGTATATCCACCTAATATGAACGAGTTTTGTGATTGGCTTTTTGTAACAATAGTGAACAGTGTTTATGATTCGTTCTTTTAGCAATCAATTTCTATATTTCATTGTGTTTTATGTTTATCATCAACCAATGCTTGTTCATATAGGTACGTACCGACCCCTCTTATATGTCTGATTTGCGCATTTGTGGTAGAGTCCTCGAGGCACGGAACTCGTACGTACTACCGAGGTGGGACAAAAAGATGAGCCCATTGCATGGAATATTTGGTTTAGACAACATTTTTAGTCCAAGGCGGTAAAATTGTAACATTTTATTCTCTTCAAAATCTTGCTGTCTAATTTGTTTTTGAATTTGAAATTTGAATCAAATTATGTAATTCGTACGCACTAGCAACTTCGTGAACAGAACAGAATAGAATAATAACTTCTTATTAACCAAGGGCGAGGTCTTTACCGAGAAATATCGGCCGAGGTCTTTTTGAACAAACTGAACTCGAAGAGTGAGGTTTGTACAAAAAGATTGAGGTCCGATATTTCTCCGTAAAGACCCGTATCGCATAAGGTATGTATTTGCACTTGAAACAAACAAGAAATGCATAAATTCGTATTTGTAGCCTGGTACGCATTTGATAAAAACAAAAACTAAATATCAAATTTTTTTAGTTTACCGTTTAAACTGTCTGGGACGTCTTTTTTAATTTCAAAAGCAATCAAATTCTCTCTTGAGCATTTATTTGTGCCTTTTTCATTCAGAATTTCTCTGTTTTTCATCTCCTGATGGATCGGCGATCGAAAAAGCCTCGGTCTGATATTTTACAGTCCATTTTATTGGATGCGTTCAACAGCCTCGTACCCAGGTGCGCGCGGGGGTGCTTGGGGTGGTTTTGCCAAATTTAGCGCCTGGCAGAAAATGAATTCAACATGGAAACAATCAAATGAATTATACAATATAATACAATACAATATAATTATATACTATAATTACTTGAATTAGATCCAGGTTTTTACAGATACACCGGTTTTTAAAAATGTTATAGGTTGATTAATATTGAACATTTCATGTTACAAATTATATCCAATAAGTATCACGTATGAAATCAATTTACTTTTAAACTCAAGTTGTTGCCATATGTTCGCGTTGAATACATGTACGTCCTCGGATTATTAAACCTGTAAACAAAGGAGTATAAGTTTATCTGTCATGTCATGGACAGAAACCTCTTAATATGTTGAAATGCGCTCGCTTTTTTCAATAGTATATATGTAAATACGGCAGGCGATTATTCGAGTGCTCTACGATATAGTCACTCCGACGGAAAATATTTAAATAAAAGTACCTTCAGATGATTCTTCGCCAAGGGAAACGTTCATAATACTTGGCTAGCCTGTCGACAGTCGATCCAGTAAAAAAATTATAAATAATGAAAATAAAAACTGCAAAATACAAGCGTTTTCCAGAATCGGTAACAATTTGCCAGAAATGGGTCATTTTCTGCCTCGCGCTTCCTCGCTAAAACAAACCTCCCCAAGCACCCTTGCGCGCTTGGTTTTTTCAGCTGGGGCCGGTTGTATCAAAGGCGTTTAAGCACAGGTAGCCCGCTATTGGATTTGCTTTTAGTTAAATATTTTTAAAATACATTCTATGCAAAACGACATGAAGTGTAACCTTCCTTTATTCACTGCTGACATATTATCGCATGCGCCAATTCGTGCGGTGCAGTGTGACCTTTATGTATATATTAGAGAGCTTTAGATTTGACTACGGCTCCCGCTACGGCTACGAGATTCGTCACATTGACGTGATATTCGTGATACTTCGTACTGACGCCAGAGGCACGTAGCCCTCGCTCATCTGACTACGGCATTTTAACAAAACTTCGTAGTCCTGACTACGTGATTTAAAAAGCAATAAAAGTTGACATTTTTTCCTTTTTTTCCAGAAAAAAAATTTAGAGAAATGTTTTCCATGACTGTGGCCTTTGAATACGCGTATTTTTGGAAATGGTGAGGGTAAAATTCCCGAAATATTTGACGGGATAAACATGCGTTTATTATTGTGTTTGCAGAGATTTATCATGCCAGTACGTGGTGGCGCATGCATACAACGTTTGTTTCGCGCCACAGTGACGAATCTCGTAGCCGTAGCGGGAGCCGTAGTCAAATCTAAAGCTCTCTATTAATATAAGGTTGGCAACTCTTTGTCGTATTTTCACATTTACGAATTACATACACAAATTACACATGAAAATACTCGTACTTAAACACAAAAATATACACAAAAAACTAAATCTATTTGGGAACTGACTCTCCTAAAACATTTCCGAAACATTTGTTTGTCTTTAAAGCCATTGCAAATATGTGAAATTTACGAAAATACAAACACTTTTTGGTTGAATTTTTTGAAAAGCCGTCGGGATCCCATCACCCTGCCCTACGTCACAGCAAACACGCAATATGATTGGCTTAGTTTTGAATTTTGAAATTTGTTTACGTTAACGGGACTCAACCAGCCAATCATATAGCGTATTTGCTGTGACGTAGGGCAGGGTGATGGGATCCCGAAGGCTTTTCAAAAAATTCAACCAAAAAGTGTTTGTATTTTCGTAAATTTCACATATTTGCAATGGCTTTAAAGACAAACAAATGTTTCGGAAATGTTTTAGGAGAGTCAGTTCCCAAATAGATTTAGTTTTTTGTGTATATTTTTGTGTTTAAGTACGAGTATTTTCATGTGTAATTTGTGTATGTAATTCGTAAATGTGAAAATACGACAAAGAGTTGCCAACCTTATATTAATATATACATAAAGGTCACACTGCACCGCACGAATTGGCGCATGCGATAATATGTCAGCAGTGAATAAAGGAAGGTTACACTTCATGTCGTTTTGCATAGAATGTATTTTAAAAATATTTAACTAAAAGCAAATCCAATAGCGGGCTACCTGTGGTTTAAGTCGCTATCCACCGTATAACTCGCTATCCACCGTATAACTCGCTATCCACCGTATAAAATTTATACGCTTGAGAAATAGCGTTGTATCAAATCCGTTTAGCACTATCCACCGGTTAAAATTTGCCTATCCAGCGTGTAAATTTAAACGGTCCCTTGAGACCGTTTAAGTCACTATCCGGAGGATAAAGTTTAAATTCGTTGTCAATTAAAAAAAAAACATCTAAAATGGCATTGTACAGATTACCTGGAATCCATTTTTATGCACTTCCACGAGTAAATAGAAGAGCGGACAGAGTTTTTAGACGTGAAATTGACAACATTTTACAATATTATGATGATGAGCTGCGAAAACGATACCGTTTCGGTAGGCAAACCATCGTCTACATAACCAATCTTGTACGAGACGAAATCAGTCCTGCAACTAATCGTACTCACGCTGTTTCGGCCACCCACCAAGTTTTAATAACACTTCGGTTTCTTGCATCTGGCAGCTTCCAACAAGTGACCGGAGATACTCTTGCAAGCTTGGATAAGGCCACTGTTTGTCGAATAATACGTCGTGTTACTGTTGCTCTATGTCGTAAGATTAACCAATTCATTAAATTCCCTCAATCACAAGAAGATCGTGACATCGTGAAGCAAGGTTTTTACGAGATTGCAAACTTTCCGTGTGTAATCGGCTGTGTTGACGGCACACACATTAAAATCCAGGCGCCTTCAGAAAACGAGCCAGATTTCGTAAATCGAAAGAGGGTCCACAGTATAAACGTACAAGGAATCTGCGACCATAAAGGTACAGGAAATATTTTGTTTATACCACAGTTATTTAAATATGGCGCATTAAAAATGTAAATAGTCTCGTAGGGTAAATAGGGATGATTGTGAATGGATTTTTTTTACCGGAAGTCAAATTAGTCAATATTGTTCTCTGACTTGTCCATTTTATTATTAATAATTGTAACAACTTTTCATCATAGCTTGGTAGAAAATCAGAGGTTGAAAATCACACACGCACTCACATTATGCCATGAAGCCCCCCCCCCCTCTTCAAATTAGAAATGAAATTTAAGCCTGGTTTCCATATGACGCCGACGTCGGCAAAGTATTATTGTCGGTGATTACTGATGAGTGAAATCTTTTGTCTTTCTGAAATCATTTTCTCCTTGGATGATTACAGACAATGAGTCGGCGACAGGTCGGCGTCATATGGAAACCAGGCTTTATTTTCACTTTATCTTGTAGGGAAATTTACCAATATTGTCGCCAAATGGCCTGGGTCAACTCATGATAGCCACATTTTTAGAACATCATCTATTGGCCGCAATTTAGAAGGGACCAATTTTGAAAATGGTGTTCTCTTAGGTGATAGTGGCTATGCCTGTATGCCTTATTTAATGACCCCATACCCAGAACCACAGACACAGCCCCAGCGATGATTTAATCGAGCACACAGGGTCACAAGGTGTATTATTGAGAGGACTTTTGGGGTCCTGAAACGATGCTTTCATGTTTTGCATGGTGAAGTAAGATTGTGTCCAGAGAGGGTGTGCACCATCGTTGTCGCATGTTGCGTTTTGCATAATATTGCCATTGATCACAATGAGCCAATTGATCAGGAAGAGGAAGAACTCCTGATAGAAGAGGACAACAATTATAATGGTATTGATTCTGGAGCAGCAATTCGAAATTATTGCAGCAACATACTTTTAATAAAATAATTTCACATTTCAAATAAAACTGTTTATATAGAACATTTGAAGATTTCTTAATTTTTTAAATTGTATATACATGCATTCAATTCAATTGTGTTAATTAAAATTTATTCCTCTAAAAATAAGTGAGTTTTATTCAGTATTATACTATTATTATATTTGTAAAAAGCCTCTTATATTAATGCTGGTGAAAACTCACTTATATTTAGCCTGCTTGATATTTGCAAATGAATGTTATGTTACAAATAAATAAACAATAACCATTGTTGTTCAATTTTCAAATGATGTGTTAACTCTCAACATCTCAACTTCCAGCCTTAATTTTTCCTGAACTAGCATTAAATTTTGAACTTCTAGTTCAATTTTCTTCTTCTCCAATATAAGGACATCCATTTGTGCTAATTGGATGTCCTGTGTGGTCACTTTTCTTTGCTTTTTGGTGGGTGGCTGATCCACAATTACCTGTATATCTGGGTCTTCTGCAGGAAGTGTTCCTGAGCCAGATGCTTGTAGGGTTGGGTTTGCTGCTTCATGCAGTGTTGTAATAGTAATAGTTGCTGCACCATCTGCAGGAGGTGTTGTAACAGTTGCTGGGTGAGGGACTGTTACCACTGGTAGTGGAATCTTTTCAAGAAATGATGGTGGCACATCACCAACAGCAGGTGGAGGAATAGGGAGACTTGAACATGCCTCAGCAAAAGGGAGCTCCATGGTATGATCATCTAGGGCATCCCAATTTGTATTTGTTCCTACAAAAATCAAACAATATTTGACTACAAGAAACTAGAGTCTAGAAATTGAACACCATATTTGAGAACTGCTAGATACCTGTGTCAATATGTAAATGCAGTACCGGCCACTGACTACTGAATATAAAAATTATAGCTAAAAACTATACAAATGTACTTATCTTTGAAAAATATGTGTGTGTTTATATTAAACATATGAACATATCAAGTGAAATCTTTCAGACCCTCACGACCGACGTATAAAGTAGGGATTTCCACTGTCGAAAGAAGATACTATGCGACGTACGTCTTTTGTAAGCCATTTCGAGATTTAAACATTCCAAACTACCATACTTATAGCCGATATATTCAAAATATGCGTTTTAAATGACATAAAACAACGTTTACAATGACGCTCGCCTTTCTCTTCATATATTTCACTGATTTATGTAATATTATGCGCATGACACCACTCACCTGATTCAATCCCCCCTTGTATCCCACAAAAGCTAGGTTCATCCCCCTAAACAACTCAAGTATTCGCTGGACTGTTGGCTTCAACGGCTGATGGGGGATCTTTCACCTCCAGTTTTTTTGTGAGAATTTTTTTCTTTTCCAAGGTCTTTTCTCGCTTCGCCTTTCATCCCCCGCCACTTCTCTCTTAACTCACTCGGAGTTCTCTTCGCCACCCCAAGCGCATTCACCCGATCGCATATTCTTTGCCAAGTTTCGCTTTTTTTCTTGTTTGAAACAGTTGTTGAAAATTTATCGCGGATGATATTGATATTTTCCTCAGCAAGCTGAAGAATTAAAGCACATTCCGCGGCGGAAAAGTTTGGTTTTCTCGCTCGCTTAGCCTCCATTGTTTGCTTTCAAAATTTCCCGCGCTTCGGACGCATAGCAACGCCTAGCAACCACCGGGAATAACCGGTTTTCTCCAGTTTTCTCCGGATAAATTTAAAGTTATCCGCAGGTTAGTTAAACGCTGTACTAAACGGCCTTCATACAACGCAATTTTATCGAGCGTTTAACTATCCGCCGGATAATAAATTTATACGGTGGATAGGAGCTAAACGCCGTTTAGCTTAAACGCCTTTGATACAACCGGCCCCTGAACTCTATACCTGGATGCAACGTTATACTTATATTTACTATTAAAGCGCCTGGGTACGAGGCTGTGCGTTCAACCACGGGTTCAACCAAGTTGAATGCAAAATTCATATGGCACTTCCGGGCTTCCGTAGTACACATATTCCGTGAACTCGATCAAAACGAAAGGACTGCGCGCATAATTTGGTGCTCGATCTATATAGTTATTATTTATATTTTAAAATGGGCGATTTGCAGATTCCCTTCTTATAAGGATAGTCCTCGTTTTAAGATAACCTAAAAGCAGCCATTTAGCTCGAGTAAACGCTTAGCAAGCACGTCTTCTTTGAATATACACTGGCGGTCAAAAAGAACTGCTCAAATGTTGCTATTGTCGTATGTAACAGGAATCGCGACAATCAATCTTTTATTGTACACTAGCGGTCAAAAAGAACTGTTTAGGTACAAACTCATAAAAAAGAATCGAATATAGAGAGAGCGTCAGAGGCATTTTGGATAATTCTCTCATTCCAAGCAATATTTCAATAATATTATATGCAACCTGCCACACTTCCAAGATAGTCAAATAATGGTTTCAGGAAGAGGGGGTGACAAAAATGGATTGGCGTGCACACTAAAAAGACCTTAACCCTATTGGAAATCTACGGAACATTGTCACGGGGATAGTGCAAGAAAGGAATTATTCATAAAGCGTCCATGGTTTGTGGGTTGCTGTAAAGACTGTCCATAGGATGAATTTCTTTTGACCACTAAGATTACCACCAGAAAGTATGCCACGCAGGTGTAACGCTGTTATCAATTATAAGGCCAAAGGAGGGTCAACAAAATATTAGTATTCCATATAGCTTAGCATGTAATCTAGTCTATATTTACTCGTATATATTGTTAGAGGTACAGTTATACGTTTATTCGAGAGCATGTAACTTGTTTTGATCAGTTCTTTTTGACCGCCAGTGCATAAACGAAACATAATACTTCTAGTCACAACAAAGCTAGACATCGGGCGAAACCTCAAACAGAGTCTGCCGCCTTGATTTGTCCGTGCTAAATATTCCAACGAATTTATCATCCTTGGAGAGATTCGTAGCGTTGCGAACGCGAGAAATGTGCTTCAGGATAACAAATAACAATATGAACGTGCGAATGTGCTCACAATTTCTATACATTGGCCGGCTGACATTTGATTTTGCCATATGTTTCCTATCAAACGACGTAAATGTAGTTCGAAATGTTCGTCAAAACAAAGCGATGATGCTTAGGTAATTCACGTGTACGTTTACAAAAATCTAGTAGTCAATGCCGAATATTCAAATGTTGCCGAATATTCAAATGTTGTCCAACTTCGTGCGTTTATTAATTGTAACGAGGTGGGGTGAAGATGTCTTAAAAACGGTCCGAGACCGAGATTTAATCACACTGTATTAGATCTCCTGCACTATTGGCTTTCCATACTCATTAGGAACTATATAATCAACAGTATCTAAAATCTATCTTGGATTGCGGTAGCCCTTGCATGGAATGTGGTCGGATAATGAGGGTATATTTTGAATATGAACGAAACATAATACTTTTTATCACAACAAAGCTAGACATCTGGCGAAACCTCACACTATGGTCTGCCACCTTGGTCTGCGCGCTAAATTCGTGCCGTTGCAAACGCGAGAAATGTATTTCATGAAAAAGAATTGGACATTATAATGTTTATGATCTATCGATCCTTCGAAAACGTGCGAAAATTCTAACAAAAGTTACAAAGCAGGCGACATATCAACGTGTGAATGCGTTAATAAAGTCTATATGCTGCCATACATTTTCTATCAAAGCTCGTAAATGTAATCGAAATGTTCATCAGGACGAATGTGTCGCGCGTTTTTTGCACTTACGTACACGTGCGTAAAACCTTCTAAGTTGTTGTATAATAATAAACACACCAAATATCAAAAGAATTCAACCCTGTGCATCTACTCATTCATTGATTTAAATTATTTTAAACTTTTACGTGCGTATGTATATATGTGTACATACAAAAAACGCGACATCTAAATTCTAAGTATAATTATAATCAACAACTGAAATTCACAGTCATACAATTGGCAGAGATAAATTTTGAACCAAACTATCGGTAATAACAGATAAATTTTACTCCAAAGAGTTTATAGATATGCCAACAGAAACTACGCCATAAGTAAATAGCAACCAAAATAGCAAACACTGAGATGCAGGGATTGAATGATCTATAGAAATTGGATTAATAAGCTAATTAAACAGCCTTTGTACAGGATCCTTCGTAGAGAATTTCCTAAACAGCCTTGTTACTTGCAGAGTTTAGTGACAGGAGCGGATTAAAAGGCTAAAATCTTACCTGTAGTTAGTATTTGCTACTGATCTTTTATAATTTTTTAAAAAGAACCCTTCAGCAGATTTCTAACAGCGTTATCACCAACAACGAAGTGTTGTGTTGCAACTGGAATCTCAAGTATGGGAAATTTGCTTAAAAATTCGTGGGGGCGTACTGGTTTGTGCCACTCATCTGAAAAATGCTGGATCACGCAGCAGGTATGCATAATAATTTTTGAGCTAATTGCAGCCATCTTTATGTGTCTAGACCTGATGACACTAACGGTATAAACATTGACTTAGCTAACACAACTTCTTTTTAATAATTTCAATTTACTTTTTTGGAACCTAATGTATTAAATATAGTGTGGTCGTATGAAAAGAAATAACCGGTCAGGAATTTTCAGAAATGAATAAATTTTGACTTTTATATTTTTATATTGAGACATGTTGTTGATACATGTGACGTGTTGCCGTTAATGCGTATGTCTGTGATAAAAAAATTGCAGTAGGCTATATAGCCATATACAAAGTAAGTGTTACGTTGTGTTCCATTTATGTTATATATATGATAAAACAGTTTTCACAAACAGCCCTCACATGTAAGCGTCGTATATGGCGACACTCGTAGGACCACATTTTAATGACAACTTTGTGCCGTATGAGATATTTGTTTTGCGAGCGCGTCCCTAACAACAGACGTATGCAGTGGCGTATGTAACGACGATTAGGTTTTGCTTTTCAAATTTTTAATTATTATAAGCGAGGTTTTTTTACTGCATATTTGAATTGACGAACCCTTGTTATTGCATTCATCCGCATTTTCACAACTGAATTGTTTTTAGTTTTCGTAATCTTCTTGTCTAAGCTTGCCTAGCTATCTTAGCTGTAGCATATCAGTTTTATTATGTATTCACAAGAACACTATGAACAGTGCGAAAAAAATTCAAAAACACACTGAAGAGAATTTCAAATGTTTAAAACAAATGAATAATAGTACATTACAGCATAAAATCGTAACAAATAGCACCGACTTACGAAGTACCTTTCTTTCATTATCACTTTCGATTTCCTCATTCGAAGCGAGGTTCACATTTGATATATGATTTCAATAATTTAAATGACTTAAATTTACCAACATTTAGTGACAGGTCCAGAATAAAAGGTTATGTCTTACCTGTGGTAAATATTCCCAACTGATCTCTTCCGAAAAACCCGTTCAGCAGATTGCTAACTTCGGCTTGCGTTAATACCAACAACGAAGTATTGTGTTGCTAGACGGGTGTCTCAGGTATGGGAAATTTGCATAGCAGGTCGTTTGCGCTGGTCAGCAAATTGCGGACGTATTGGTTTGCGCTATTGTTCTGAAAACTGCTGGATCGCGCATCAGGTATACATAAAAATTGAGCTATAATTGCAGAAATATTGATGTGACCACTCTTATTATATGTAATTGTAGGGAGGTATTGCTGACGTAGGATTTAAAAGAGTCGCGGAATCCTGATTATATGAATTATGAAACGTGACGTACCCCCTGATTACAAATTAATCACTATTTGTTTCTCTTTCGCTTTAAATCCCTGTGTGAATAACTAATGAGTCACAACAATATCGCCGCCTAAAATTAGAATACTTCTGCAGGGTCGTTAGAACACTGGCACCGAGCGTTCAAAAGCTGGTTAGCTTAACCCGGTTAAAGCAAATCTTTACATCAATTTTCTTCTTGTTTACAAAGTTGAATATCTTTTGTCATAAATATTTTCTTGGACAACAAGAACCATATTTTGTGAAGTTTTTAAAAGTTTAGAGTTTGGTTTTCTTCTGGTTTTCTTAAAAAAAAGGAATTTTTCTCTTGATATTATTGTATAGTTGCATCGGTAGTCATGGTTTATATGGCCGATAGGCGCAGAAAATGATTATTTACCATTGGTTATGACCTGTTGTGGGTAGCTAGTGAAAGATAAAATTAACAAGCTGTATTTCGCAATTGCTTTTCCTAGTTGTTTGATATAATTATTATTATATTTACTAATAATACCGTTTAATGTGTATTTTAACGATGCCTTTTCAAAGATTCAACATTGCTCTGATGCGGTTATTACCTTCCGGAGAATCTCTAGGGGGGGCTACCCCCCAGTAAGACATTCCGGGGAGCTTCAGCCCCTCAGACCCCCCCCCCATACTCTACGCTTATAGGCCGCATTGGAAGTTTTTAGAATGATCAGCGGTTCAGAAGCACTTCTAAACCAAAACAGTGGAATAAAATTTAGGCCAAGGTTAGCTAGCGCTGACCCAGTATTGAACAACTGGCCCTGCACGCTAATTCATCGAGTATGTGTCACTAACGCAGTGACAAAAACGTTACCGTGACAGTGAATAATTAGAACGTTACAGTGAATAGTTAGAATCCATTACTCTTACTCTTATTCCATTGGGATGACAATTTTAGACTGGATATGTGAAAAACAGCTAATGAATTTATTTTCATTTAAATTCCGCGTGAAAGCCAATACATTAAGAAGAAGGATATTGCTTTCTAACCACGCTTGGGTTTTATCTACTTCATCAAATATTATGTTCACCTGTCATTTTCAGCCATTACTTCTAATCAACGTAAGTTAATATGAATGCGACTGACTAACTGTCAGTTGGTGTACATGTCATTTAGTTGGTTGACCTTGATCTTACAGCTGACTCAATAAAATTTATAGCTTTAGTGACATTGAGTACTAGCTACTCGCCAAAAATATGAACTTTCTACGTTTAGCAATCGTAAGCTGATTTTTTTCCGACAAAAATATGCGTCTGCATGTAATCGTTGTTAGATCGCTGGCCAGATCGGTCATAAGCTGAAAAGAGAATGTTTCGTTTTTTCCGATAGGCAGAATGTTGTAAGATACATATATGTTAAATGCTATGACTTTGGAACAGTAATATGTCTGTATATCTCTGAAAATATGCACAGGATGTAGCAACTATACCTAGCAATAACCGAAGCCAGAACTAATGAACTTCTAGCGCCCCAACTGAAAAGCATTAAAAATTCACGAAAAAGCCTTTCTGTTTAACTATGTGTTTTCATGGTTAGGGTTTAAGTTTGCATGAGATTCTAAAACGTTCGTGCGCAAACATGACGATATTACCCCTATAGCCTACAACAAAACTATTCACTTGAAAGGCGGCTTTTGAAACGGCTCGAAATGTTTGGCAGTTTTGCTATGAACACTTGTATATACCGTCACGAAATTGATCGTTATAGGGCTGCTTTCTGTACTTACCTAAATCCTTACATATGTCATAATTATTTAAAAACGATATGAGAATAAATAGAAAAGACTTAATACATTTGTTGCCCATTTGTTAAATAATAAAAACTTCCATGGAAGCATTTAAAATTTTATTTTTTATTAAGCAGCCCAAATGCTTAATCAAGCGCGAAGATGAAACAACATTACAGCAAATAATATTCCATATAATATTTTCGTAAAACTAGGCATATCACCTGTCACCTATATTCAAATAATGTTATAACCCGACTGACGAAATACGTACATCCGTCATCCAGAATATTGAAGTCCATTATCTATAAAACAAAAGTTGGTTTCGAGTGTTGATATAAGTGGTGTTGCTTTAAAAAAACAATAAACTGAAGATGAAAAGGCCGTTTTTAAATAGTATTCAGTTGTTTAACAATACTTGCAGCTGCAACATGCATTGTAATCGTGGCTTTATATTTCGATTTCTTTGTCGAGTCTTTCTCATCTTTCTCTGTTCGTCTTTTTTCTGTATCTATCCTGGTGATTGTGGTTCAGGCCGCATCACGCGAGAGATCAGAGCGAGAAGATTAAATGAAGAGTTGGCAAACAGACTGTTAAAAAGTACAGTTTCAAGCGAACAAGATGAATGGATCCTAGACTTTAGAGAAAATATTGACCGAGTTGATACCGACAAGACAGTGGATAAAACGGATATTGCGACAATTCGAGGGAAAGGTGAGTTCTAAAATATGAGATCATTTTCAATTAAAAGTTTCCAACAATTCTAACTGTGTAATTCATCTTTAAGAAATTGTGACAAAAACACAGCAAGGTATTGAAATACGGAAGAGATCAAACGTATATTTTTCAACTTCATCACCGCCTAATTTGAATTATCCAAGAAGAGAATCAAGTAACATCTCTTCTTTAAGTCACACGAAATTGGGAAAGGGTTTCAGAAGAAAAGGAAAAAGAGAAAAATTCGTTTCACAGACAACGCAACGCACTCGGAACAAACGTGATATTGATGCGACCTCACGTAGCAAGTCTGGTTCAAGCGAATGCACGAACTCTACATTTACTATAAATTATGAAGATGATTACACAGTGTGGAATAACTTCTCAATCATGTACCAAGGGCAAACGTATGATTATGACCAGTACAGAGTAATAGACGATGAACTACAGGTTTGTATTTCCTCCAACCCTCTTATTCAACCGAGATGGCAGAATTTGATTATCATGGAAAAGAAGAAGATGGCTTACAAACATTGTAGTGTATCCGTCGATGGTTTCCTCCCACAAAGTGGTTACAAAGTGTATAAAAATTTAACTGTTTTCTTTAAACTTACTGAGCAAAATTTTACAAGGCACGATTACGGAGTAGTTCTTGGATATTTTGTAATTTGTTCTGCGAAGCTCAGTCTATCCTGCAACGATAATTTGGTCAGAGTAAAGTACGAGGAAGAATACAAGGTTTCGAAGAGCTTTTCGTTGTCTTACAAAAGCAATATTTATCATTACAACGATTATCGACTTAACAAAGACAGTATTGAGATGTGTGCTTCTAATGATTCGCGAATTCAGGCTGTTTGGAGATCGCGAAATTTGTGGGAAAAGTCTAAAAACGCGTATCAATGCCATGCCCAAGGAATATCTCTCAAAAGAAGTAAATATTACGCTGTAAATGAGCAGTTCCTGGTTTATTCAGCATATGGAGGTCAATATTTTAAACGAAATGAATATAGCGTGGAAGACGGCAAACCTTACATTTGTAAAGAAAAGTTACGGCCAAGTTCAACAGAGTATACCAAGGAAGATCTATCAACATGCAATGATTCAATCATCAATATAAAAT